GAAGGGAATGCACGTGATAGTAAAGTGAATTAAGCAATTAGCATGCATGTATAGAAAGGCGGATTAAAAAAGCAAAAATGCTTTTTGGTTAAATTTCACGGTCTCAAGACAGTTTAGGGGGCAAATAGCGGCATTGTTCCGCTTTCATGGATGAGGTTTCAAAATATTGATTCGAAAGTGTTTTTATTGGAGATGCTAAAAAAAAGGTATTACTATGTAAATCTTGAGTCCATATTTGCTTCTCCTTGTAGTAACTTCCCATCTGTTTTTTTTTTTGCTAAACCTTCCCTGGCTTCTTTACTTTTCCCTTTGTAGTTTTGTCTTCTGTTTTTTGTAAAGCAGGAAAATAATGAAAATAACTGCTGGGTATTTATTTTTCCTATTACTAGTGGCGTCAATATGGCCTATGTTTTCAGGGGCTGATGCTCTAAAACTTGGGGTGGCTCCATTTACTGAAACAGGTCGTTTTAGTATGATGTCCGGTATTGTGGAGGAATTGTGTCTGCGTGGTCATGAGGTGACCGTTTACGTCCCTGAGTCCTTTTTAGTTGAATGCCACAAAATACTGGGATGCGAGTGTGTTTCGATTGGTGATTACAATGAATCCTACACAAATAACAATGAAAGGACAGGATTATTCTCAGATATACGTATGTTTATTTCAAAGGAGCACGCGAGAAGGAACTTCAACATATTTTTTGCTTTGGCATTAAAGTCGGCTCTGCAAAAGGCGCATTCGTTGCCCGATGGTCTTATAGTGGATATTGAAACTTGGGGTGTGGACAACCTTGCTAGGAGTTTGCACATCCCCACCATTTTTCTTTGGTCGTCACCGCAGTGGCCGGCTCAGATGAACCCTTCTTTTCCTGCAGCTGGAAGTGGACTGAGTGTCCGTATGAGTGGAAAGCAGAGGCTGAAGAATTACTTAGTCCAGCGAGTAAACTACTGGATTGCAAAGATGCATAATACGAAAATAGACGGATCTTATGAATCCTTTGAGAGTCTCCTTTATAAACGGCAAATAATTGCACCTTTTGTTTTCGGTTTGGATGTCGCCCAGCCCTTTTGTCCGAATGTTCACTCGGTTGGATTCCTAAGTCCTCGTGGCAGGGAAACGGAGTCTCTCAATAGCAGTTGGCTCTCATGGATGAATGGATGTACAGATGGTATTCTTTATATAAATCTGGGGTCTATTTCTCACATGCCCAGTGAATGGACAAACAGTTTATATGAATCTGTTGAAGTCTTTAACAAGAAGACGTTAATGTGTGTCTTCTGGGAGATTCCTGATAATCGGCATGCATCCTTGAAGGCCAAAAAGAATGAGGCACGTTTCCGAGTATCATCTTCTTTTTTAGTTCCACAACGCTCTATTTTGCAACATAAAAACACAAAGGTATTTTTAACGCATTGCGAAGGTGTTTCGGTTTATGAGAGTCTGGAGAGTGGGGTTCCAATGCTGGGATTGGGGTTTTCCTCTGATCAAGCGGATATGTGTGCGAGGGTACAAGCTGCTGGGCTAGGGGTGGTGTTAGATAAAGCTGTTTTGCATCCCTCTCGGTTTATCAATGAAGTTATGCAGGTTAAAAACAATCCAGACATCATCGGTAATCTCATGAAAATTGGGCGCATGGGATATGTGATGGGGGGATCAAGAAAGGCAGCGGATGTTATTGAATTCGTGGTTTCTCTGGGTTTTGATAATGAGGATTTTTTCTGTCGCTTCGTCCAGTTGCCGTTTATTGAACAGCATGATTTGGATGTTTTGTTTTTTATTAGTGGCGCGCTTGCTGTTGTTACTTTTGTTGTTGCAAAGATGATTTCTCGTAGGAAATCGACAAGAAAAACCCACAAAAAACGGGACTGAATATATATCTATTTGTTTCTTTGAGCTTGCGACAAAAAAAACGAGAGAACAAAAGAGGCTGACTGGTGTTATGGTTCCCTCGAATGAGGAGGGCGGAATATACATTTTTCATGCCTCGTTTCTTATGGCTTAAATAAAGAAAAAAAACACACACATGGCCGTTTTGCATCTGCACTTCTAGCTTCATACTCCTTCTGAGTCTTGGTCTGGCTGATAAAAAGACCGTTGATTGGACAAAAGCTCCCGTAAAAAAAAACAGGAAACATGTTTACCCTTATTCATCGTTTACTTCCAAGAGGCGAGGTTGGATCCGTTAAAGCTTTCCCAACTGCAAGTAAAAATCATGAGGATTACAGCTTTTGGATTTCTTTCTTAATAGCGCTGTTTTGTGTGCCAATATGCTCAGGACCATTTCTGATCGTATTTTTTCCTTTTTTTTTCCTTCTTGAAAGGAACTCATCGGATTTTTTGTCGTATTTTCCTATGGATGTTTTAGCCTGGGATAATTACTTGGATCTTTACTGTTTACTTTTTTTCTTTTTCTTCTTCTTACTCCCTGTCCTTTTTTCGCTTTACCTATAATGCTATTTCGAATGCATTTTGCACGCTTTCCTAGGTGAACTGCAAAGAAAAAAAAACTAAAGAATAACACAGCACTAGCAACAGCAGTAAGAGGAAGAATTCAAATTGGTAGAAATGTCTGAGATCGAGGAAACCTTTCAGCGTATTAGCCAGCGACCGAACGTGACAGGTATAATTGTTGTGAACAATGAGGGTGTGCCTATCAGAAGCACCATTGAAGACACCGTAACTCAGAATCAGTATGCGCAACTGATCACGGCATTAGCTGCAAAAGCTCGCCATTGTGTGAGAGAATTGGATCCGACAAATGATCTTTCCTTCCTACGTATACGGAGCAAAAAGAATGAAATTATGGTGGCCCCGGACAAGGATTTTACGCTTATTGTTATTCAGCGATTCTCGGATATGTAGTCTTCGCGCTAGACTTACACCCCTTTTTTTTCTTTTGCTCTTGTTTGTGCATTTTGAGAATTGATGTAGATATATAGATATATATATATATATATATCATTGAACTTCTCTCAATGATTGCCGTAGTCTGAGGTTGATTAATGATAATACTCATCATCAGAGGTATAACAATGCTAAGAATATAAGTGTATGATTTATATTTACCGATACATTTGCTCTTTCATATACTTTTTTTCTTTTTCTTTTTCTTTTTGCTTTTTGTCGTATAGTAAAAAAATGCTACATTTGCTTAGTGTCGTTAGACACGTTTTTTGGAATGACAACTTATTTGATAAATTTTTACTGCCCCCCGAAGCCGATTTGGAGAAATGCCAAACCTCATTGGCCGACTTGGCAACTATGACTGGCAGAGAACGTATTGCCGTATTTGAGGAATGCGGTATCCACAGTTCCCTTCACCCGGTGTTCCTTCGAGCGTTGCAAAGCTTGACTTCAATTCATGGATCAGGCTCAATCGTCGACAATTACATGCTACATCCGCATTTGAGCGCACACCATTGGAGTCCTTCTTTAAATGGCGCCCCCCTTCTTGGTTATTCTTTCGTCAACAGTGAGGCGTTTGCGACGGAGAAGCCCGAAGAGCGTATTCCCCGCCCTAAAGGAAAGATGGTTTTAAATAGCGGGGGTGCTAACTCAAAGACCAAGTACAATGGATTGCTAAACCAAGGAGCGACTTGCTATTTGAACTCCCTACTACAAGCATTATTTCATATCTCAGAGTTTCGCTGGACCATTTATCAAATGCCAACTGGCGAGGAGGGGGTGGAAAAAAATGATATGGGTGTTAAACGAGCAAAATCTATTCCATATGCTCTTCAGAGATTATTTTGTCTTCTTCAACGAGGAAGCGAGGCGGTCGACACCACAGAACTGACTGAATCCTTTGGATGGAGCGCCACCGACAGCTTCATCCAACACGATGTTCACGAAATGACATGCACGTTGTTGGATAACTTGGAAAACAAATTGAATCAGGTTCAACAACCCGAAAAAAGGGATTCCTCACCTAGTACAAAGAAGAATGCCATCAGTCAACTATTTGTTGGAGTATTGGAAAACTTTGTCTGCGTAGACGAGGTAGATTATCATGGATCGAGGGAGGAATTATTCTACGATATTCAACTGCTCGTGAAGGACACCACCGATATCTACACAAGCTTTGAACGATTGTTTCAGGTGGAGGTACTGGATGGGAAAAACAAGTACTGCTTGGAAAATAATGGGACAAAGTCCTATCATCGAGCAGAAAAGGGTGTGCGCCTAAAACGTACCCCACCCATTTTGCTTCTGCACTTGGCAAGATTTGACTACGATATAGAGAAGGGAGAAACCAAGGTTTTGAGTCGTTGGGATTACTATAATAACTTGGATTTATCGAAATATATGCCTCATGCTTCGAAAGAGGACACAAATTATACACTTTGTAGCGTTTTAGTTCATTCCGGTTCTGATGCTGGATTTGGTCATTATTTCTGCTTCTTAAGGTGTTCAAATGCATGGTATAGATTTAATGACGAAATTGTCTCGCCAGCTTCTCTTCGAGAGGTTTTCGGGGCGAATTTCGGTGGATTTGAACTCAATTATTGGGGTTCAGAAGTTCCGAATACAACTAATGCCTATATGTTGGTGTATGTACGAACCTCTGAAATGGGGCATTTATTGCGACCCATTGCGGCCGATGAGGTTCCATGGCATGTCGTGCGCGAATTAGAATGGGAGCAAACACAATATGAACGACTTTTGAAAGAGCAGGCTGAAGATCACCTCTACGGAAGGATTTATTTTCTGCAACCATGCGACATTGAGGAGGAGCAAGAGTTTCTGTCTTGTCGTCGACCGCGAGACCGGCAGTTTCCCTCAAATACAACGCTTAGGATTTTATTGAGTACTGAAGCCCTACCTGCATTTAAAGAGTTCGTTGAAAAGCAATTGGGTATTCCTAGTTCTGAACAACTACTTTGGTATTCGGCAGCGAGAGGGGAAAATAATCATGTTCGTTTACATAAGCAAGTTGTTCAAGGTATAACAGTAGCGGATATCTTGTGTGGTGAAAAGGAAAGCTGCGTTTTTGTTATAACCCCTTCTAATGCCAATTATGTTGAAGTTGACGAGGACGGGGAGGATGACGCGGTTAAGTATGAACTGTTTCATCATAAACTGTACATTCCTCTGCGATTGAAAGTTGTCTTTTTGGGAAGTACGGTTCTGGTTCACAGGAAAACCGTGGCCTCAGAAAAGGCGATTGCGCTTATGGAACCATTTATTCGGAAACGTATTGCAGAGATTCCCCCCGATAAAAATCTAAAACCCAATCACCATTTGGGCGGAGGAGACCGTTCATGTATAGGCGACTCTGAAACATTGGCTGCGCCCTTCTCTGAGACACCGTTAGGTGATGCATTCACGCCCAGTTCTGGAGAACGTGCCGGGAAAAAAAAGGAGGCGTTATCGGTACTGTGCGAGTCCGAGTACAATACCTATTCTAAATGTTCACCGGTGTTGGATTCTGGCGATATTTTAGTATGGCAAGAGCCATGTTCTGAGGAGGACAAAAGCGGTATTTTTTATCCCGATATTGTGAGTTTCCAGCACTTTCTTAGGCGTCGCGTTCCTGTGGAGATTAAGTTGAATCTTCCGCCTTCGTATCCGACGCTGATTGACACGCAGCTAGCGGAAACCATGACGTATGAACACCTGCAGCGGTATGTGGCGCGTCTTATCGGTGATCCGCTAAATTATGATCGTATTCGTTTTACGATGCACAACCCGGAGACGAAGTTGCCTTATTTTATGAAGGGTAGAAGAGCGGAGCGCCCAACTCTCGGACGATTGTTATCACCTCCGGTGCAACGGCGTGAGGTGCGCTCACGGTATCTTTACTATGAGTATTGCAAGTACGCCGTGACGGAGATCGAGGCAGCACATTCTCTGCAGTTCAAATTATTTAGCGAGCGAGTGAAGCCAATTAGTCAACACTGGGTGTTGCTGCCACTAGAAGCCCCAATCACGCCGAAGGAACTCTTCAGGACGTGTGTTAAGGAGATTCAGGAGGCGAAGCCTAGTGGTATTTCTTCCTTTGCGACAACGTCAGTCTTGGCGAGGAGCGAGAAGGAAAGGGAGGGGCAACCGAATGACTTGTTTGATGCCGATATGAAGTTTTACAGGGAGCTTGATCCTGAAGACGCATGGCAGGAGCTCCGACTCGTTGACGTTTGGCGGGGAAGAATCTACAACTTGTTTGACAAGGACCATCCACACACCTTTGGACATTCAACGTTTGAGGAGAGCGCGGAGTATCGTATTGAGCAAATACCAAGGCACATCGAGGGTATTCCCCCGCAAAATCAATCCCTCATCCATGTACACCACTTCACCCTGGTTCGCCAGCGCTCAAATTCTGTCGAAACACACGGAGATCCGTTTAGCATTTACATTGACCACGCGGAATTCGCTCCTGATCTTTTGCGGCGTATTGCGTATAAACTAGGGCTTTCTGAGGCAGCCGTGGTGGACTGGAAAATGGCGCTGGTAAAGGAGAATTACGTTGTGGAGGTCCGGCCCAATGTTCCACTGGGAAGACAGCTGTTTGAATTCTGTCTTGAAGCTCACTACCTGCCCAACCAGCAATATCCTCTAAAGATGGCATTCCTGGGCCTCGAGCACGCTCCGTTGTTGAAGAGTTCCGTAAAGCGGGGGAGCCGGGTGGTCATACTCAATTAGCGGTCCAAACGTCATTTTTTTCCTTCCTTCCTTTTTTTTTTCTTCCACAACGAAAAAACGGTGAACTACAAAAGAAATGAAACATACGGCATACATACATAATATGTATATGCACAGTTATAGTAATGGGATCTGCCTTCTTTGTTTTGTCAGAGAAGGTTTTGTGATTCCTTGTACAAACCAGTCGGCCTTTTTTTTGTCCTTGTTTTTTACACTTTCTTACACTCTTTTTTTTCGTGTGGTTGTTGTTTCCTCCTCTGCGCCCACCTGCCACGCCCAAATGCACCGTGCGGAGTAGTTTCTTGCACCCCCCACACCCTTTTTCTTTTTTTTCTTTTTTACTTTTTTTTGCCTCACTTCAAAACGACAAAACTAAAAAACAAAAACAAAACGACAAAAGTGATCATCGACGGCGATGTCTGCGCCACCCGAGGCCAATCCAGATGGTGCGCACCGGTATGCTCGTGTTAATGTAGACAGGCCGCGGGAGTACTGGGATTACGAGTCTGCTCGAATCCAATGGAGTTCGCCCGAGCGCTACGAGATAGTTGAGAAGATTGGACGAGGAAAGTACAGCGATGTGTTTCTAGGGTGGGACACTAAGGCCCATCGGCAGGTGGTTATCAAGGTGCTCAAGCCTGTGAAGAAGAAAAAGATACTGCGGGAGCTCAAGATTCTTCAAAATATTCAGGGCGGGCCCAACATTGTGGAGTTGTTTGACGTGGTACGCGATCCATGCAGTAAGACGCCCTCGTTCATCTTTGAGTACGTTCCATCCTCGGATTTCCGCACCACGTTTCCCATGCTGACGGACTACGACGTCCGCTACTATGTTTTTCAGCTTCTCAGGGCCTTGGAGTATGCCCACTCCATGGGGATCATGCACCGTGACGTCAAACCGAACAACATCACGATCGACCACAACCGACGTAGACTTGTTCTCATTGACTGGGGTCTGGCGGAGTTTTACCATCCCGCCACGACGTACAATGCCCGTGTGGCATCGCGCTATTTCAAGGGCCCGGAGCTCTTAGTTGAGCTTCCCATGTACGATTACAGGCTTGACATGTGGTCGCTTGGGTGCATGCTCGCGGGCATGATATTTATGAAGGAGCCATTTTTCCATGGAAAGGACAATAACGATCAGCTGGTTCGCATTGCTAAAGTTCTAGGCACCGATGAGTTATTCGGGTATCTGCAAAAGTACAACCTGAAGCTGTCGCCTCTCCTGGAGGCGGCAGTGGGGCGTCACAGCAAGAAACCCTGGAGCACGTTTATCACCCGGGAGAATCAACATCTGTGCTCGGCAGAGGCCCTCGATTTCCTAGATCATCTGCTGCAGTACGACCATGTGAAGCGGGTGCAGGCGTTAGAGGCCATGCAGCACCCATACTTTGACCCCGTGCGGGACGAATGCGCGGCGAGGGCGGCGGAGAACAAGGCCACCGGCGTGGCCGGCAGCAAGGAGGGTTAAAGAACAAAAAAACAAAACAAAACAAAACCACCAACAAAAAAAAAGGCGGCAAGGGGAAGAAACTTATATATTTATTATATATATCTATATCTCCTCATTATTGGGAATGACCGAAAAGAGAAACCAAGCGGATGGGGGAAAAGAAAAAAAAAAGAAAGAAAGAAAGAAAGAGAGGGTAAGAAAGAGGAGGAGGAAGAAGAAGAGACGAAGGAAACAAAAGGTAGCTACATTGTCGGGCGCACTTTCTACTCAGTGTCACCTTTAAAAAGAAAAAAAACGAAAAGTTTATTTCTGTGTGTGGAAGGAGGAAAAAAGGCGACTTGGACGTGGTATACACTTTTTTCTTCTTCCACGAGGCTGCATGCGGTGCGGGGGCGGTGACAAGCCCGGCAACGCAGCACGTTTTATTCTTCC